CACGCCCTGCCCACAGAGGTGGACCCAGTCGCAAGGCTATGGAGAATCCAGGCAGGTCTCTTAGCAGGCCAACAAGTTGCCTGAGGGCTTGTTGTTGGGTGGGGCCAGTCCCTAGGGTGGGCTGCCTGCCCTGGCTGAACTGGATTAAATCAGTGCTCTAGTGGGTGGGGCAGACGCTGGGCTAGCAGGCCACAGGGTGAACTCCAATGGTGTCTGCCCGCGTCTGTGTCAGCACGCCCACACCAGGCCACAACAATGGCCGCCACCAATGTCCCAGTCACTGGAGAGGTCTCACCTCTCACCAAGATGCACTCAGGGCCTATCTGGTGAGTCTCTTTTCACCAAAGTGCTGTGCACCTTTCTTTCTCGTGATTTTATGTTGCTTTCTGAAATGGGTGAGTTTGTGTGTGGGCCCTTTAAGAGCTGGTTTTAATTTCTTTGTGAACCAGCTTTTCTGGTGGTACTCCCCAATGTTTTAGTAGCAAGCAAAGTCAGATATTATGCCACTCGTCTCGATTGTGCTGGTTCCAAAAAATACCTATAGCGGGGGCACTCCCCGGCTCAGGGCCCGCTCCTCCAGGGAGGGCTGCGGACCTTTGGGCTGCTCCTGGGCAGCTGTGAAGCTGGTGGCTTGTGGAGGTGGCGTTTTTTCTCTCCAGAAGGGATTTCTGCCTCTTCCACCTCGATTAGCATTGTCGTTTGTTGCAGGAGTTCCTCTTATCCAGTTTTCAGTTCTCTCTCAGGGGTAATTTTTCCAAGAGTAGTTGTAAATTGGCTGTGTCCTCTGGAGGAGGTGAGTTCAGAGTCTGCCTACGCCGCCATCTTGACTTCTCCTCCCTATCTTCTTTTTTTAAAAAGAAATTGGATCTTTTCTATTGGCAAAGAGAAATACTGTTATTTTGCCATCTTTGGGCGCCATTTTCCCATATAGTCATGACATCATTTATTTTCTTTATTTGTTTTGTATTTGCCATTTGTTCTTTTTTCACCCTTTCCTGACTTCTTTGGGACTAATTGAATATCTTTACTATTCTATTTTTATCTCCACTATTGGCTTATTTTTATACCTTTGTGGAGTTTTTGTTGTTGCTGTTATTGTTTGCTTTTTCAGTGGTTGCCCTTGGGTTTACAACTGTGCATCTTTTTTTTGTGTGTGTGTGAGGAAGATTAGCCCTGAGCTAACATCCAATGCCAGTCCTCCTCATTTTTTTTTTTTTTTGCTGAGGAAGATTGGCCTTGGGCTAACATCTGTGCCCATCCTCCTCTACTTTATATGGGATGCCACCACAGCGTGGCTTGACAAGCGGTACATCGGTGCGTGCCCGGGATCTCAACCTGCGAACCCCGGGCCGCAGAAGCGGAGCGTGCGCACTTAACCATTACACCACCACGCTGGCCCTAGACCTGTGCATCTTTAACATTATTATTAACACTGCATTATAATCTAAGACCCTTCTAACAGTATATTCTGTTTGTCCCTTCCCATCCTGTGGGCTGTTGTTATGCTCCTTTTTTACTTCTACACATATTATAAACTCCATGATATGTTATTATCATTTTTGCTGTAATAAGAAAATATTTTTTTTTTTTTAAAGATTTTATTTATTTATTTTTCCCCCAAAGCCCTGGTAGATAGTTGTATGTCGTAGTTGCACATCCATTCTAGTTGCTGTATGTGGGACGCGGCCTCAGCATGGCCGGAGAAGCGGTGCGTCGGTGCTCGCCCGGGATCCGAACCCGGGCCGCCAGCAGCAGAGCGCGAGCACTTAACCGCTAAGCCACGGGGCCGGCCCGAAAATATTTTATAAAGACATCTTAAAATGAGAAAAAGGACTTTTATTTTTACCCACATATTTGCCACTACTGGTGCTCTTCATCCTTTGTGTAGGTCCAAGTTTCTGTCTGTTATCTTTTTCCTTCTGCCTGAAGAACCTCTGTTAGCATTTCTTGTAGTGCATGTCTGTTGGCAGTGAATTCTCTCAACTTCTCTTTGTCTGTGAAAGCCTTTATTTTACCCTCATCTTTGAAAAATATTTTACTGGGTATAGAAATGTAAGTTGATAGTTTCTTTCAGCACTTTAAAGATGTCACTCCATTGTTTTCTTGCTTGAATAGTTTCTGAGGTGACATGTCTGAAACATCTGCTGTAATCTTATCTTCTCTGTATACAATGTATCTTTTTTCCACTGGCTACTTTTAAGATTTCTTTTTTTATCACTGGTTTTCAGTGTTTTAATACTGTTGTGCCTTGGTTTGGTTTTCTTTACTTACTCTGCTTGGATTATGTTGGTCTTCTTGGATCTCTGATTTTATAGGTTTTGTCCAATTTGGAAATTTTTTGGCCATTTTTCCTTTAGATATTTTTTGTCCCCCTCCCCTCCTTCTTCTCTGTAACTTGAACTATGTATGTTTTAGAGTGCTTGATGTTGCCTCATAGGCCCTGCTTGGTTTTTTGTTTTAGTTTTAGTCTTTTTTTTTTTTTTTTTAAATCTGTGTGCTTCAATTTGGATGGTGTCTTAGTCCATTTGGGCTGCTATAACAATAACAAGACTGGATGGCTTATAAACAACAGAAATTTATTTCTCACAGTTTTGGAGGCTAAGAAATCCAAGATCAAGGAGCCAGCAGATTCAGTGTCTTGTGAGGGCTCGCTTCTTGGTTCATAGACCACACCTTCTCACAATCTTACATGGTAGGAGGGATGAGGAGCTCTCTGGGGTTTCTTTTATAAGGGCCCTAATCCCATTTATGAGGGTTCTATCTCCTAAAGGCCCTACCTCCTAATACCATCACCTTGGGAATTAGGATTTCAACCTATGAATTTGGAGGTGACACAAATATTTAGTCTGTAGCAGATGGTTTCTATTGCTTTGTCTTGAGGTTTGCTGACTGTTTTTTCCTGCTATTAATCTCATTCCATAAAATTTTATTTCAGATATTTCATTTTTTATCTCTAGAAGTTCTATTTGGTTCTGCTTAATACTTTATATTTCTCTCCTCATCATGTTTATGTTTTCCTTTAACATATTTTTAATATTTATATTAAATAGTGAACATATTTGTAATAGTTGTTTTAACATACTTGTCTGCTAATTATATCATCTCTGTCATTTTCCTGCTTATTTACATGTCTAATAATTTTTGATTCAATGATCAGCATTGTGATTTTATGTTGTTGAGTTCTGAATTTTTTCTATTCCTTTAAAGAGTGATGGACTTTCTCATGAAGGCAGTTAAATTACTTGTGAATCAGTTTGATCCTTTGGAAGCTCGTTTTTAATCCATTTTAGGGCAGGTCTAAATAGCCTTAACTTGAGAGTTAATTTAGCCCCATTTCCAAGGCATTACCTGTCTGAAGTCTCTGCTGAAAGCCTCAGGTGTTTCATAAACACTCTCTGCTCTGGCTGGTGGGAACTTACACCTCCAATTTGTGTGTAATCTTTGGGAATAGTTCAGCTTATAACTCCGTGGTAATTGTTCGTTCCCTGGAAATTGTTCTTTGCTTGGCCTGATGAGGCTTCACTCCATGCACATGCAGACTAGTATTCAGTTAAAGGTTTAAGGAGACCCCTGTGCATATTTCTGGAGCTCTTTCTCTGCATGCTTCCCTCATCTTCAGAACTATGCCACACAAATCCTATGTGCTTCAGTTTCTCTGAACTTGAATCTCTGTTCAGCTCAGTGAGACTACTAGGCTCTGTTTTGGTTTTTCCCTCCCTGTGCCGTAGTCTAGAAATTGCCTACGGTTGGAAATCTGGGGAGATCTTGGGATTTACCTCATTTGTTTCCTTTTTCTCAGGGATCCTATGTGGCAGTGCTGTAATAATCTGTTCCTCGAGAAAGTGTCAGGAAAAACAAACCAAAAAATTTGCAAATTTAATTTCTTGTAATGGACAGTTTACCATTATTTGTAACATTTTTCACAAGTTACTAACAAAATTTAATACAAGTGTTTACCTGTTTACAAAATAGGGGAAATTGATGGGAAAAGAATTTTGGGAACTTCAAAGTCTGTAAAAAAGCCTTACTATATTTTACTCTGATTACAAAAGTTTATCATAGTACTAACATACTTATTGGCATTTTAAAGTCTCAGAAGGAAAGGGGGGCTTTATATTACTGTTTTCCTTTAATGGTCTTCTGATTTTAAGAACAGAGATAAGCAGTAAAACTAGTGAAGAGGGATATACTAAAGAAAGCTTATGATGAGTTTAGTCAAAGTAGCTGAGTTTATATGGAATTAGGTGGGCAAAGCTTGGACCTTGAATCCAAAACGGCCCAAGTTCTGAAGGAGAAAGGAGTCAAAGAAATGACTTTTTTATTACTTAAAGAAAGGGAAAATATGAAAGAAAATAAAAACATTAAGACCTTAGGCAGAAATAGAAATGTAAGGAGCAGAGGAATTCTGGGTCAGAAGAAGAAAGAAGATGAAGCCTGCACATATGTTGGCATTTCTGCTTTCCGTGCAGAATAAAACAGAGATAGGGTGGGTTCCAAACTTGCCACAGCTCTCTAATATATTTTATACCCTAAAGCCCTGGGCTTTTAAAATGTTGTTTATCATTCTAAGTTTAAATACAAATGTGAACTAGGTGCTAAGGAAGGGCTTGTTCTTGGCCTTCCTTAGAAATTAGATAAGATCCAGAAATCAACACACTAATTTTATACAAATAAAAGGTTCAGACACAGTTAAGCATAGCTTGAATTCTTAAGTAGTTTTTTCAGAAACATACAATGATGCTTTTATCTCTATTTATCACACCCTTTAAAAATATAAGTAAAGAGTAAATTTCAGATCTGTTATGTAGAATACAAATTTCCATTGGGCCACATACATTATAGAGGTAATTACTTATAATATATTTTTGTATGATTTATCAAGTGGTTTTTTTTTTGTGATGATGTAGACTTGGCCTGTGTTGATTTAAAAAGCTCTAATATTTTTGTCTTGGGCAAAGACAAAAATCAACATTCATTTACATTTATGCTTTTAATTTTAGAAACAAAAACCAAGAAATGCCTCATTCCATAAACAAAGAACTGATACTTGGCATCATGGTGGGAACTACTGGAATCAGCTTGCTTCTTTTGTGGTACCACAAGGTTCGTAAACCAAGGACCGCAATGAATTTACCTAAATTTCTTTCTCTGGGTAATACATTTCATTCAATGACTTTGCAAGATGAAGTGCGTAATGGCCAAGGAACAGCAGCGATCTTTCAAGGAAGGCAAATTCAGATATTGGAGAAGTTAAATGAATTACTGACAAATATGGAAGAACTCAAAGAAGAAATCAGAGTTCTTAAAGAAGCCATTCCAAAGCTGGAGGAATATATACAAGGTGAACTTGGAGGGAAGATAACTGTTCATAAGATAAGTCCTCAGCACAGAGCTAGAAAAAAAAGACTTGCCACAGTTCAAAGTTCCGGGACAAGTAATAGTTCAGAGGAAGCAGAAAGTGAAGGAGGGTGAGTTTCTTTAAGATGTTTCCATGTTGAATGGATTATTTATTGCATTATTGCTATTATTTAGGCACTTTTATTATGCATCCCCAGTCATATGTTCTGCTACTAAGAAGACGTACAAAAGAGTCATTATTTTGGCTTACATTACAATTAAAACCATTTTCAATAGAGGTCAGTATTTCAGATAGTTTATACTGCATTGACAAAAAGAATATAAGTAACTTACTAGTGCTAGGTGGCATCAAGTGAGTACTGAGGAAGACAATAATTGTTTGCCAAAATGTGTCACCTGTTTTTATATGTGGCCACTGTGTAGCCCCTTATATAAGAACTGTCCAATAAGTGCTGACTAGTAGAACTTTCCCTGATGATGGAAATGGTCTAAATCTGTGCTGCCCAATATGGTAGCCACTAGCCACGTGTGGCTGTTAAGCACTTGAAATGTAGCTAGTGCAACTGAGAAAATGAATTTTTAATTTTTTAAATTGTGTTAATTTAAATTTAAATAGCCACATGGGACCAGTGGCTACTGAAACTGGGCAGTGCAGACCAAAAAAGATTTTCTGAGAAGGTACGAGTGATTCAGTTTCATTCTCGCATGGGGTAATCCACTGAATTCTAAAAGCAAGAATAAAAATAATATTTTTTAGAGAAAAACAAATGATTTATGAATAAAGAAATTGTGTCTGACTAGTGTTTTTGAAGAGTAAAATAAGCAAGTAAATAAAGAAGCCCTAGTGAATATGACGTAGCCTAAAATTCTTTAGAGCAGGGACCCTATGTTTTCATTGTTGTACTCCTAACACATTATTGTTGTGCCTAGGGCATAGGAGATGCCAGCAAATATTTCTTGAATGAATGAGTGATCTGCTAAATTATATGGATTTGGAAGAAGGGATCTGGTGAGAGGAAACAAAGCTTAGGGATAAAAGGGTGGTTTCGTAGATAAAGAAATGTAAATGGTTGATCAGGTCTTTGAGGTCGATGCTAGCACTGGCATTAGCATCTTGATATACGAACTGGAGAAATAACTATATGCAAAGTTTTTCAATTAGGAAAGAGCCACAAATGATAGATCTAGATAACAGGAAGGTCTTAAAAATTTGTGTTCCTGAACAAAAAAAAGTGGTAGACTGGTTTTAAAATAGGCAATGGAATGTTTGAAAGGAATCTAAAACAGTTCTAAATAATTCAGAACTGTAACTCACAAAAGAGACTTGTTAATTATTATAGGTATAGAGAACAGCAGCTTAGTTCCCTAATAAAGACAAAAATCCCAACATAACATTGAGCATCATTGAGAGTAACTGAGGACAAACCAATGGTCATCTTACCTTTATGTAAATCTGTGGCGTTTCCTCATCAGGAGGCCTGTGTGCAGTTTGGCAGTCACGTCTTAGGAAGGACATAATGGAACTAAGGACTGGCCAGAGAAGATCCACTAGACTGAGAGGGGAGATGGCAGCCCTGGTAAAGGAGTGTGGGCCAAAAGGATGAGTGGCCCTTAATCTAAAAAGACCCTGGTCAAGTTGAGCACAGGCTTGTTCAAGAAATCCTAAAGTTCTGGAAAGAGAAGCAAACTTGGATAAGTTTAGAACAAATAAAAAGAAGATAATTATGGGACTTAATTTTAACTTCAAGTAGTGTATAGACATAAACTATTTATGTGGGTTCAAGAAGGATTTGTGAAATTTATGAATCACAGTCACAGATGGCTGATAAGAAAAACTAGACATATCAAAACTTTAAGATTGATGTCAAGTAAGACATTCCCTCCTCTTGCTGATCCTGGGTGTCTTTGTTAGCAGTAGAATACTAGAAGAGATGTAATCGAGCCCCGATGACTTAGACTAGATTACGGTGACTGCCACCTGATAAAGTGGAGGCAGAGAAACTTTTTCCTATCTAGCTGTATTTCAGAAAAATAAACAAAACAAGCAAACAAACAGAAACTTAATTTGGTTTTTTTTTTTGAGAGAAAGGAATAAGATACAGAAAGATTTAACACATCTGTCTATACCTAGAAACAAACTTTTTAAATAAAAAATAATAATTTTTTAAAAACAAGATCTTTGTAAAGTATATTAGTGTAAATTTTAGATTGCTGTGGGACAGAGATGACTGGTCATGGCAAGATACAGTCATAGCCCATTACCACATTTAAGATGGGATGTATCCTTGATTCATAGTGTCCTTGAGAGCAAAATTAAAACATGAAAGGACAATTACATGTTCCATATGTAAAATTTATCTTTTGTAATAGGTACCTAGAGATTTTGACTTCTTTTAGTAAAACAGATGTCAGTCACAATTTGCTGATACTATTAGTTTTAGACAAGAAAAGAAAAAATCTAATTATATCCAAGTTGTCAAAAACTTGAGTGGGTAGATTAGTGGAATGCATTTTCTGTAAGCATTATTAGAATCTTCTGCATGCCTCTGTTAGTACATAGCATGCATCATCATGGACTTAGGGATTTATGCCTTTTTTGGACTCAGCTAATTTCATTTAATTAGTTGTGGAGGTCATGATGACTGATGCTCAGATTCTCATACTGTGACGATCAGAGGGCCTGCCAAGGTTCTTCCTTTTCCTTCTTAGCACTAGTGTGACCATCTTGGAAGGCATCTTTGTTTCTTGGCAATATTATGTTTCAACTGATTTTGGTTTTGCCCCTGCTCCAAGACTTGGAATCAGCTATTACCTTTGCAGCATTGGTTCCCTTCAGTGAGAAACAGTACTAGATACCAAAATCTGGGTGTATGGAGGAATACTGTTTTTAGGCAGGATGATACCAGAGGCTGCTTTGGCCCCCTTTAGGACAGGGTAAAAGAAAAATAGTTTTAAATATTTTTAAGGTCACTAGTTCACATTGTTGTTTTAGTTTAAATTTAAGTCCTCCCTTATTTCTGAAAACTTTTTAGTTCATTTTCTTTTTTAAGCTGCACACTTCTCTTTTCTCTGTCAACATTTACCTGTATTGCTCTAGCAAACTACAGGTTTAAAAAGTGTTATTTAAATCACAATGTTATGTAAAGCTTTAGAACCCTCCCTTTCACAAGTTAAATCTTATTCCAGTTTAGATTAAAGTAATACTCTATAATAAATTCGTTATTTTTCCATCTTGTGTGGGCTTTAAGAAGAATACATGTGTTCAAAATTAGACAATTCTGTTAGGTAAAGCAGAGTTGTATAGTGACCCTATGGGCCGTCTTTCTTTTTTTCTTGACTTATGTATTTTCATTTTAGTGTTGCGTTCATATGATACCTTTAGATAGTATCAACAGACACAATACTGACTGTTTGAAAAGAAAAAGAAACCCCACAAATCTGCCCCCAAAAGAACACCAGCATAATCCAAGCCATAATACACTAGTGCCTTAGATGATATTACTTGATATATAACAGAGGATGGTGATGAAAGTGAGACCACAGAAAGAACAGGCTTTGCGGTTTTATTTAAAACTCCTTAAACTTTCATTTTCATGAGCCAAAATATAAACTTTGCTTTTTTGCAGTTATGTTTTTATTCTCACCATTATTTACTTCTGCCAAGTCAGTTTTAGTGTTGAACTTCAATTTTCAAGGCCTTGAGAGAAAGACAAATTCAGATATTCCTTACGTGGTGATTTTGTATTCTTTCATGTTGTACAAGTACAAATTTGCAAAAAAAAAATTCGTTTTTTGTTTCAGATCTTATTTTTAATAAAACATTACACGTATAATTGAAATCTTTGTACTCCTTTCTCTCAGAGGTAACCGTCATCTTGAAGGTGGTATGCATTCTTCCTTTGAGAGTTTTAATGTTCCTCCTATGTGTGCATGTTTACATAAACAATGAATAAATGGTCTTTGGTTCTTAAATTTACATAAATGGCATTATATGTACATAACATTTTGTAACTTGCTTTTTCATCAAATGTCTTTTGAGATTTTTCCATATCGATATATGTAAACTTATTTCATTCTTTTCAGTTGCTATGCTGCATTCTATTCTATGAATATGCCTTAATTTGTTTTCTTATTGATAGATGTTTAGGTCACTATTTTTTTGCTCTTATAAACAATGTTTTATTGAACACTTTTCTTCATAATTCTTTAGGTACAGTGAAATATTTTGAAAGTACTTAGAAGTGGAATTGCTGGGTTATAGACTAATTTATATTGTTATTGTGTATGATTCAATTATTCTTCAGAGTCTACCAATTCACAATCCTATAAGCAGTGTATGAGAATTCTTATTTTCCTGTACAAATTCTTATATTGTTAGAGTTTTTAATTTTAGCCAACCTAATGGCGATGAAGTGATAACTAATCATTATTTCAGTTTGCATCCCCTGAACACTAATAAAATTGGGCATCTGTTCATAGTTTATTTGCCATTTAGGTCTTCTCATCTATGAATTGATTTAAAAAACTAAAGGAAGGGTAACACTAACAGTTTATTCATTCAACAAGAGTGTCTTCTCTGTGCGAGGTACTGTGTAGGCTCCCTAGACACAGCAGGGAACAAAGTCGCACAAGTCAAACAGATTTTTTTTAAAATGTAAGAGAGTGTTAAAGAGGGATGCTCTCAGTCTTGGTTATAACCAGAGGCCCAAAGGCCAAGAACAAAAGTGCCAAGTACCGTCGCATTCTAGAGCCAAGTGCTAGACCCTCCTAGGCAGGACTTGCTAAGAGATGGAAGCCACTGCTAGCATGAGCAGTCACCCACCTGCAGCCTATGAAAGGAAGTGGCCGAAGGGCTGAGAGATGCATTTCTTTGGGGGAAAGTTGTTCATGTGCTGGGCATCTTACCAGTATGTGTGTGATGCTGAATGCTATAGGAATGGATGACACTGCTCAGGCAGAATGTGTAGCGTGGGAAGAGAGAAGTTGGAGTACAGAGCCTTTTGGAACCAGTACTGAGGGAGTGGGCAGAAGTGGATGAGCCTGCAAAAGAAAGACTGAAGACTGGTCAAAGAAGTTGGAAAAGAACCAGAGGAGAAAGATGTCACAGAAA